GTAGTTCCGCATCGCCGTAGCCTGACCGAGCCGAGGACGCAGAGGCTGCGACCCTGACCATCTGCTGGAAGCAAAGATACAAGACCCCAAAGGAGGAGCGCTGTACACGGGGTGCGGTGACCTCTTCTGCGTGAGCCGGCCAACTGGCAGCAGAATGTCTGCGAGGGACCCGAAGATCTAACGCAGAACTCCGTCAAAACGCTGAATCCAAATAGAGAACGCGGGGAAAGAGCGCCGATTCCTTCGTCAGTGACAACTTGTTACAACTTATACTCATATTTGGTCATTTATTAGCCGGTTCCCCAGAACTACTGCTACAGGGCTGCAGGGCTGTAAAAAATACATATACAGTAGGTCACGATATATGGGGAGTTTTTTGAAGATGTAATTTTTTTGTCACAATTCATTTGGAAAATAAAGCAATTAAATTTTATCATTTTTTTCTTTGTGTTTTTTACAAGTTTTTATATATTGTCAGAATTGTCACAAGGGCATACAGTGTCACCAGAGTGTCAGGGGAAGTGATCGGGATCTTTTTTACGCTGTGATTGCTCACATTCATGAAACCTTGTTGACTACTGTGATGTTGTGATTGTTCACAGCTGTCACATGGTACAGGACCACTGCGACCAATCACGGAGCTCACACTGTAGTAAACAATGACAGCATTGTTTACTGTGATCACTGTGATTTCTTCTGTGTGAAATTTATAGAGTCTATAAACTATGGGTTTTTTTTTTTTTTTAATTTATGAGTCATTTGAGTCTCATTTCTTGAGGCCTTAAAATGCCAAGGCGGTAAAATACCCCCCAAATAAAACCTTTTTGGAAAGAAGACACCCCAAGGTTTATTATTTAGTAATAGGCAAGGTGAGTTTTTGAAGGTGTAATTTTTTTGTAACAATTTTTTGGAAAAAAATAAATTTTATATATTTTTTTTTTATAATCTTTTTCTTTTATTTCTTTTTCATTTTTTTTTTACATACTCTCAGCAGAGCAGTACAGTGTCACTGTAGTCTACTGATCTGGGGAAGTGATCAGGATTTTTTTTTTTTTTTTTTCTGTGATTGCTTATAACATTGATAATCACTGCACTAAGCGATCGGTAAGCCTTTCATGAAACCTTGTTGACTACTGTGATTGATCGCAGCTCTCACATGGTACAGGGCCGCTGTGACCAATCACGGAGCCCACACAGTAGTAAACAATGACAGCATTATTTACTGTAATCACTGTGATTTAGTCTGTGTGAGATTTTTATAAAAATTGATGAGTCATTTGAGTCTCATTTCTTGAGGCCTTAAAATGCCAGGACAGTAAAATGCCCCCCAAACGACCCCTTTTTGGAAAGAAGACACCCCAAGGTTTGTTTTTTAGTAAGAAGCAAGGTGAGTTTTGAAGTTGTAACTTTTTTGTGACAATTTTTTGGAAAAAAAAAAAATTTTAGAATTTTTTTTTTTTCTTTACAATCTTTTTCTTTTCTTTTTTTTTACATACTTTCAGCAGATCAGTACATTGTCATTGTAGAGCCACTGCACTGATCTGGGGAAGTGATCAGGATTTGTTTTTTTTGTCTGTGATTGCTTATAACAGTGGTAAAGACTACCATAAGCAATCGGTATGCCTTTCATGAAACCTGGTTGACTACTGTGCTGTTGTGATTGATCACAGCTCTCACATGGTACAGGCCGCTGTGACCAATCACGGAGCCCACACAGTAGTAAACAATGACAGCATTGCTTTCTACTGTAACAGTGATTGCTGTGATTGATCAGCAGGGCAGAGCACAGTGTATTATTGTGACACAGAGGGTGTCAGATTGTGCCTCTATGTGGCTCCTAGAGTGTGCACGAGGCACGCGAGCGCGAGGACGTCCTATGAACAACACAGCACCCTCCTAGCCGTATTATTATAACAGGCGATCGTTAAGCCTTTTATTGGTAAGCCTTTCATGAAACCTTGTTGACTACTGTGATGTTGTGATTGATCGCAGCTCTCACATGGTACAGGGCTGCTGTGACCAATCACGGAGCCCACACAGTAGTAAACAATGACAGCATTGCTTTCTACTGTAACAGTGATTGCTGTCATTGGTCAGCAGGGCAGGGAACAGTGTTCAGTTGTGTCCGGGGGACACAGAGGGTTGCAGATTGTGCCTCTTGTGTGGCCCCTAGGGTGTGCACGAGGCACACGAGCACGAGGACGTCCTATGAACAACAGAGCACCCTCCTAGCCGTATTATTATAACAGGCAATCGGTGAGCCTTTCATCAGTAAGCCTTTCATGAAACCTTGCTGACTACGGTGATGTTGTGATTGATCACAGCTCTCACATGGTACAGGGCTGCTGTGACCAATCACGGAGCCCACACAGTAATAAACAATGACAGCATTGCTTTCTACTGTAACAGTGATTGCTGTCATTGGTCAGCAGGGCAGAGCACAGTGTTTTATTGTGTCCAGGTGACACAGAGGGTGTCAGATTGTGCCTCTGTGTGGCTCCTTAGGGTGTGCACGAGGCACGCGAGTGGACGTCCTATGAACAACATAGCACCCTCCTAGCCGTATTATTATAACAGGCGATCGGTAAGCCTTTCATCGGTAAGCCTTTCATGAAACCTTGTTGACTACTGTGATGTTGTGATTGATCGCAGCTCTGACATGGTACAGGGCCGCTGTGACCAATCACGGAGCCCACACAGTAATAAACAATGACAGCATTGCTTTCTACTGTAACAGTGATTGCTGTGATTGGTCAGCAGGGCAGGGCACAGTGTTTTATTGTGTCACAGAGGGTGGCAGATTGTGCCTCTGTGTGGCTCCTAGGGGTGAGCACGAGGCACGCGAGCGCGAGGACGTCCTATGAACAACACAGCACCCTGCTAGCCGTATTATTATAACAGGCGATCGGTAAGCCTTTCATGAAACCTTGTTGACTACTGTGATGTTGTGATTGATCGCAGCTCTGACATGGTACAGGGCCGCTGTGACCAATCATAGAGCCCCACAGTAGTAAACAATGACAGCATTGCTTTCTACTGTAACAGTGATTGCTGTGATTGGTCAGCAGGGCAGGGCACAGTGTTTTATTGTGTCACAGAGGGTGGCAGATTGTGCCTCTGTGTGGCTCCTAGGGTGAGCACGAGGCACGCGAGCGCGAGGACGTCCTATGAACAACACAGCACCCTGCTAGCCGTATTATTATAACAGGCGATCGGCAAGCCTTTTATCGGTAAGCCTTTCATGAAACCTTGTTGACTACTGTGATGTTGTGATTGATCGCAGCTCTGACATGGTACAGGGCCGCTGTGACCAATCACGGAGCCCACACAGTAATAAACAATGACAGCATTGCTTTCTACTGTAACAGTGATTGCTGTGATTGGTCAGCAGGGCAGGGCACAGTGTTTTATTGTGTCACAGAGGGTTGCAGATTGTGCCTCTGTGTGGCTCCTAGGGTGAGCACGAGGCACGCGAGCGCGAGCGCGAGGACGTCCTATGAACAACACAGCACCCTGCTAGCCGTATTATTATAACAGGCGATCTGTAAGCCTTTCATGAAACCTTGTTGACTACTGTGATGTTGTGATTGATCGCAGCTCTCACATGGTACAGGGCCGCTGTGACCAATCATAGAGCCCACACAGTAGTAAACAATGACAGCATTGCTTTCTACTGTAACAGTGATTGCTGTGATTGGTCAGCAGGACAGGGCACAGTGTTTTATTGTGTCACAGAGGGTTGCAGATTGTGCCTCTGTGTGGCTCCTAGGGTGTACACGAGGCACGCGAGCGCGAGGACGTCCTATGAACAACACAGCACCCTCCTAGCCGTATTATTAGAACAGGCCGGGCAGGAAGTGCTTAAAATGAACACAGACTATGGAGAAAGTGACTCCTTAAAAAAATCGGCCACCTAGCTCCCCCTCCCCCCCTCTTTTGTCGCTCAAACCTCCTGTTAGCGTCGCGAGATCGCTAAAAAGACTCATAAAGACGAGAAGAGCGGCTTCTCAACCTTGTTAATTTGAGATAATCAACTTTTCACAGACTATTAAGAACTGTCGCTTTAAGATTTTTGTAGCTTAACGCGCAGACAATAAAGCGCTCAGATACTTGTAATTAACAAAGACTTAAAGTAAACAAAAAAAAAAAAAAAAAAGCGCGCATTTTTTAATAACTTTTTTTTTTTTCCATGGCGGGAGAAAAAAAATAGAACGTTTTTCTCTGAATAAAGCCTTAATTGGATATTTTTATGTTAAATAAAGTCATTTTTAGAGCTGCTCACATAAGTGTCAGAAAAGCGATCCAAATTATGCGTTTTTCTTTTTTTTTTTTTAAACCGCTCTAAAAATAAAACATCGCTGAAGGGATTGAGAGCCATTTTCTGTCATAGAGGAGATATAAAACATTGCAATCAGCCTGACAAGTCGTATACTTAGTCTGGGTCTCTGGTGGTTTCCAATGACCAGGATGCTTAACTTCTATCTGCAAAGCCAAGAGAGCGATGAAGAGGCGGATTGTTACATTGTAGCGAGCGCAGTCATCCCCGGCGCCAATAATAAAAAGCGGACCGAGCGTAGGATTGTTGTTTTCTTTGTTAGGTGCGTGCATGACAAGTAGTATGTTAGTTCACCGGCTCTAGGTACTAATCTCCATTCTGTCTCCAGAAGGACGGCACCATCTTTATTCTGGCATCATCCGGGGTCACCATCTACTTCAACTGAATTATACAAAAAAGGCCAAAACCTGCACAGGAACCAGAACTGATGTGATTGTGTCATTCCAGAGACAGCAAAGCCATCCTGAGCTCCAGACGTTGTCTAGGCTGATGTCATCGGTCTGCATTCACTATATCCGCTCTCCCCGGACCCCGCATTCACTATATCCGCTCTCCCCGGACCCTCCACATTCACTATATCCGCTCTCCCCGGACCCTGCATTCACTATATCCGCTCCCCCGGACCCTGCATTCACTATATCCGCTCTCCCCGGACCCTGCATTCACTATATCCGCTCTCCCCGGACCCTGCATTCACTATATCTGCTCTCCTCGGACCCTGCATTCACTATATCCGCTCTCCCCGGACCCCGCATTCACTATATCCGCTCTCCCCGGACCCTGCATTCACTATATCCGCTCTCCCCGGACCCTGCATTCACTATATCTGGTCTCCCCGGACCCCGCATTCACTATATCCGCTCTCCCCGGACCCTGCATTCACTATATCCGCTCTCCCCGGACCCTGCATTCACTATATCGCTCTCCCCGGACCCCACATTCACTATATCGGCTCTCCCGGACCCTGCATTCACTATATCTGGACTCCCCGGACCCCGCATTCACTATATCCGATCTCCCCGGACCCCTGCATTCACTATATCCCCTCTCCCCGGACCCTGCATTCACTATATCCAGTCTCCCCGGACCCCGCATTCACTATATCCGCTCCCCCCGGACCCTGCATTCACTATATCCGCTCTCCCCGGATCCGCTCTCCCCGGACCCCGCATTCACTATATCCGCTCTCCCCGGACCCTGCATTCACTATATCCCGCTCTCCCCGGACCCTGCATTCACTATATCCGCTCTCCCCGGACCCTGCATTCACTATATCCGCTCTCCCCGGACCCCGCATTCACTATATCCCCTCTCCCCGGACCCTGCATTCACTATATCCATATCTGCTCTCCCCGGACCCCGCATTCACTATATCCGCTCTCCCCGGACCCCGCATTCACTATATCCGCTCTCCCCGGACCCCGCATTCACTATAGATCCTCTCCCCGGACCCCGCATTCACTATATCCCCTCTCCCCGGACCCTGCATTCACTATATCTGGTCTCCCCGGACCCTGCATTCACTATATCCAGTCTCCCCGGACCCCGCATTCACTATATCTGCTCTCCCCGGACCCTGCATTCACTATATCCGCTCTCCCCGGACCCTGCATTCACTATATCTGGTCTCCCCTGACCCTGCATTCACTATATCCCTCTCCCCGGACCCTGCATTCACTATATCCGCTGTCCCCAGACCCTGCATTCACTATATCCGGTCTCCCCGGACCCCGCATTCACTATATCCGCTCTCCCCGGACCCTGCATTCACTATATCCACTCTCCCCGGACCCCGCATTCACTATATCCGCTCTCCCTGGACCCTGCATTCACTATATCCCCGGACCCCCATTCACTATAATCCCTCTCTCCCTGGACCCTGCATTCACTATATCCGCTCTCCCCGGACCCTGCATTCACTATATCCACTCTCCCCGGACCCCGCATTCACTATATCCACTCTCCCCCGGACCCTGCATTCACTATATCCGCTCTCCCCGGACCCTGCATTCACTATATCCGCTCTCCTCGGACCCTGCATTCACTATATCCGCTCTCCTCGGACCCTGCATTCACTATATCTGCTCTCCCCAGACCTGGCATTTTTGGCAGTTTAATCACAAATGTCAGACACAGATCAGCCCCTTGCTGCTGCTCCTCACCTTGTGACTTGCTACAAAATTACAATGTACAGTCTGATCACTGGGGGAGGGGAGACTGACCTTTATCCAATGTCATATAGTGAGCTGTATGTGCTTGTAGAAGGTAAAGCCATCCCTGGACAAGCGTGTTACCCGTCTGTCTGGATCCACCCCTTTAAAGGGAAACCACACAGCATCTGAGCACCACAAACCAAAAATACTATTTAATTCATTGTTAAGTAAACTCCCCCCATCCATCCGCGTCTCCATGCTTCGAAAAAAAAAACCCCCATTTCTAGCTGCAGCCATCTTGAGTCAGGGCAGATGATTCATGTAGCATTTACTTCCTGGAATCCATCTGCCCTTAGCTCAGGCAGGCATGCAGGAGGGTGTGTTTAGCTGAGAACTGAAGACTCCTGGGATGTATGACAATTTTTTTTTTGGCCTAGGCCAGAAACCAGGAAGTAACTGAAAAAAAAAAGTTTTAAACTAGTAAATATAATCGACCTTCCGATCTAGTTACTAATGCTAGCAGCATAAGGATTACAAATCGCTCATTGATTGAGAAAGCGGAGTTCCCCTTTAAGGGCTATTTCCTGCAATGTGTGACCGCGCGGCGTCTTTGACCGCGGCATTCCTGAGGTGTTCATAATTCAGCGATGACTCCAGCAGTGCTGATTCCACTCATTGGTACAGACAGCCTGAATAATAGCGAGGAGGACATGAATCAGCAGGAGTTGGGAGAGCCTTTGATTGAAGCGAGTTCTCCGCGGACGATGTACCCAGCCTGCCGCCGGGGAGGTGAGTGATGGGAGGCGATGGAGGCGTGCCGCCGCAACCTTCATCCTCCAGGAAATATCAGATCTCACCACCGCAGGGACGTCTCGCGTGTGTCCGGGAGCAAAAACGCACGCTGCCGACCGCAATCTGCGAGCGCTTACGATTTAAAGTTGGACCCCGGTCACAAAATATTTCTTTGAAATATATTCCTCAATAGAAGTATTGTAAATCCACTTTGTGTGCTTTTGCAAACCCAGATATTACATTGTAAATGTAGCAGTGACATCATCACTGTGCTGTACAGAGAGGAGTGGTGGGAGGGGCCCAGCAGGCCACACCCACTATAGAAAGCTACAGGACGGGGTTGAGATATGACAGTCACCCTGCACAAAGAAAGAGAGCAGAGCTGTAGGAGGGGCCCAGCAGGCTCCACCCACTATAGAAAACTACAGAGGGGGCGGAGACGTGACCAGTCACCCTGCACAAGAAAAGAGAGCAGAGCTGTAGGAGGGGCCCAGCAGGCTCCACCCACTATAGAAAACTACTAGAGGGGGCGGAGACATGACCAGTCATCCTGCACAAAGAAAGAGAGCAGAGCTGTAGGAGGGGCCCAGCAGGCTCCACCCACTATAGAAAACTACAGGAGGGGGCGGAGACGTGACCAGTCACCCTGCACAAGAAAAGAGAGCAGAGCTGTAGGGGGGGCCCAGCAGGCTCCACCCACTATAGAAAACTACAGGAGGGGACGGAGATGTGACCAGTCACCCTGCACAAAGAAAGAGAGCAGAGCTGTAGGAGGGGCCCAGCAGGCTCCACCCACTATAGAAAACTACTAGAGGGGGCGGAGACATGACCAGTCATCCTGCACAAGAAAAGAGAGCAGAGCTGTAGTAGGGGCCCAACAGGCTCCACCCACTATAGAAAACTACTAGAGGGGGCGGAGACATGACCAGTCATCCTGCACAAAGAAAGCGAGCAGAGCTGTAGGAGGGGCCCAGCAGGCTCCACCCACTATAGAAAACTACTAGAGGGGGTGGAGACATGACCAGTCATCCTGCACAAAGAAAGCGAGCAGAGCTGTAGGAGGGGCCCAGCAGGCTCCACCCAATACAGAAAACTACAGGAGGGGGCGGAGACATGGCCAGTCATCCTGCACAAAGAAAGCGAGCAGAGCTGTAGGAGGGGCCCACCAGGCTCCACCCAATACAGAAAACTACAGGAGGGGGCGGAGACATGGCCAGTCATCCTGCACAAAGAAAGCGAGCAGAGCTGTAGGAGGGGCCCAGCAGGCTCCACCCAATACAGAAAACTACAGGAGGGGGGAGACATGGCCAGTCATCCTGCACAAGAAAAGAGAGCAGAGCTGTAGGAGGGGCCCACCAGGCTCCACCCACTATAGAAAACTACTAGAGGGGGTGGAGACATGACCAGTCATCCTGCAAAAGAAGAGAAAGCAGAGCTGTAGGGGGGCCCAGCAGGCTCCACCCACTACAGACTGCCTGCAGATAAAACTACAGGAGGGGGCGGGACAAGACCAGTCATCCTGCACAAGGAGAGAGAACAGAGCTGTGGGAGGGGCCCAGCTGACTCCACCCACTATGAGCTGCCTGCAAAAAACTGAAGAAGGGGACGGAGACCAGACCTGTGATCCTGCACAAGGAGAGAAAGCATGTGAGTGAGTATGTGTATGTGACTACGGACTCAGTGTTTACACAATGCAGAGGATTAACCCGCTTCCACAGTGAGTATAACCAGCATGCTTTACTGCTTATACAGACTGATTGTACTGCTGTGGGTTCACTAACAGCTTTAAGGTAAAGAATCCTTTCTGTCTGCAGAGGTTACACCTCTTTTCTTCCTTTTCCTGTTACAGTATACTATGGGAACCAGTTAAAGAGACACTGTCACCTTGTCCATACAGACCTCATATCATGGTGGTGAACCAACACAGAACAATTGCCCACTTAGTTCACCTATATGTTTCAGTTATGCATTATAAACTTTGTCGTCTACAAAGAAGCCGTTATCATCAGTAATGTACAGCGATATTAACGAGTCTCTTTATTAAACTTTATTATGCTGATGACATGCATATGTGTATTACAACAAAAATCATGTATAATAAAATAAAATAAATAATATAAAAAACAGTATATATTGAATCTTAAAATATACTGTATATTTAAAAAAAAATATATATATATATATATATATATATATATATATACACACAATATATATGCCATCAGCCTAATAAAGATAATATTAACAAATACAACAAATACTAAAAATGACAATTGCACACGGCTCTTACAGTAAAGAAACTTTGCAATAAACCAACTGTGAACAACGGGCCACTGAGTTTACTGCATGAATCAGCTAACTATTTAGAAACTTTGAAACTCTCTATGAAAGCAAATCTTATATTTAACGTACATTGATAAGAGTTTTTATAGGCTGATTAAAAACAAATTTTATATATATATATACTGTATATTCCATAAAAATATGTGCAGATAGATATACATATATATATAGATATATATAAATACTGTGTAATAATAATATATATTTTTTTTTTATGCTGATTGCATATATATATAGATATATATATGTATGCAATCAGCATAACAAAAATAATCTTCTCCATATATATTAAAAATATATTGTCACAGCTGTTACAGTAAAAAACTCTTTCCATACAAGAACGTTAAGCCTCTTTTCCTCCAGCTGGCAGGAGCGCCTTCATGTGTGTTTCAGTGAACTAAAAATGAAAGCCCATCCGCCGTGTATCAAATACAAACCAGTTATATATTGAGAAACTTACAAACTAAGGGAACAATTATTATATTTATAATGCATGAATAAAATGATATACTTTTAAGCTGATCACATACATACATACATACATACATATATATATATATATATTATTTTTTTATTTTTTTTTATGTATTTATTTTTGTTATTTTTGATTGCACGTATTGCATATATATATATATATATATATATATATATATATATATATATATATTTAGGGCCCTCGAACCCCTCACGTATTTTATTGTGTTGTTACTTTACTGTCTCATGTATTGTCTCCCATTGTAATGTACAGTGCTGAGCAAACTGTTGGCGCTATATAAATACTGTGTAATAATATATATATATATTTTTTTTTTTTTGTTATGCTGATTGCATATATATATATATGCAATCAGCATAACAAAAATAATCTTCTCCATATATATTAAAAATATATTGTCACAGCTGTTACAGTAAAAAACTCTTTCCATACAAGAACGTGAAGCCTCTTTTCCTCCAGCTGGCAGAGCGCCTTTTGTGTGTGTTTCAGTGAACTAAAAATGAAAGCCCATCCGCCGTGTATCAAATACAAACCAGTTATATATTGATAAACTTACAAACTAAGGGAACAATTATTATATTTATAATGCATGAATAAAATGTTATTCTTTTAAGCTGATCACAGACACACATATATATTTTATATTATTTTATTTTTTTTTTTATGTATTTATTTTTGTTATTATTTGTTATGCTGATATATATATATATATATATATTTAGGGCCCTTGAACCCCTCACGTATTTTATTGTGTTGTTACTGTACTGTCTCATGTATTGTCTCCCATTGTAATGTACAGCGATGAGCAAACTGTTGGCGCTATATAAATACTGTGTAATAATATATATGTATATATATATATTTTTTTTATAATGCATGAATAAAATGATATTCTTTTAAGCTGATCACATACATACATACATATATATATATATATATATATATATTTTATTTTTTATTTTTTTATTTTTTTTTATGTATTTATTTTTGTTATGCTGATCGCATATATATATATTTAGGGCCCTCGAACCCCTCACGTATTTTATTGTGTTGTTACTGTACTGTCTCATGTATTGTCTCCCATTGTAATGTACAGCGCTGAGCAAACTGTTGGCGTTATGTAAATACTGTGTAATAATATATATATATATATGCAATTTATAACAAAAATAATCTTCTCCATATATATTAAAAATATATTGTCACAGCTCTTACAGTAAAAAACTCTTTCCATACAAGAACGTGAAGCCTCTTTTCCTCCAGCTGTCAGGAGTGCCTTCATGTGTGTTTCAGTGAACTAAAAATGAAAGCCCATCCGCC